CATCCAGATCTTTATTTTTGTCTGATTCGTTTGGCTGTTTTCTTCCATTCGGGTTTGAGAGACCTCAGGAAGCGAAGGTTAACTTCCATGTTGGTTTTCCGAATGTTGATCTTTTTCATCTCGTTCAGAACCGCCAGAAAACGTTGATATGTATTTTCTAGCTCCTCATCCGATCTAGCGGCATAGGAGTCGTATGCAGTCACGATGTGAGATCTTTTGGATTTGATTCCAACATTGGTGTCTTGCATGATCTGATGGATTTCATCCCATAAGTCTTTAGCAGTGGTAAGACTATCAATTTGCATAAACAGATCATTGGGGATGGCTTGGAGCAGATATGTGGCAGCTAGAAGATCAGCTTTGCTCTGAGTTTTTCGTCTTCAGTGTAGTCTTCTTCACTTTTCAGATTCCTTTGAGCAAGTGTGGGAGGATTAAATGTGGTGTTTTCAAGAACAACAACCCAGACTTCGATGGGTCCTTCTTCCAGATATTTAGGATCTGCGAAAACCCAGACTGATTTGGAAGATCTCGGGCAACCTGCAAAAATTAAGATTTCGGATCTGCGAGATATTTAGGATTTCGGATGAACGAGAATTGGAAACCTGATCTAACTGAGATACTTATTCCGTAGTTTTCCTTCTTCTAGCAGCCTTCTAAAAACAGTAAGTTTCCAAACACAGATCTAAAAATTAATCTGACAAAAAATAATGATTTTGAGCAAATTAATTTCAGAAAAAATCAAGGAATCTCAAGAACAGAATTGTGCCGAGGCTCTGATACCAATTGTGTGAGATTTGCCCAGATTTCAACAGTCGAATAATCTAAGAATAATAGGAAGAATTTAAACAGTAAAAGAGAAATCTCATCAATAACGTATACCGTGTATATATAATGATGAATCAATGAAGAACAATCACACATTACTCGAACGAACAAGCTTGAGAGAGAATTTCTATTCTACTGGCTCTACAGAGAATAATATGCGGAAACAGAATGTGTAAAGACTTAGCAGTTTTCGGCCATCTCATCCTATATTTATAGGAGAGATGTTCGAACTGCCTAATACAATTAGGAAGCAGCTTAGGCGTGCGTGTGGGCTAATTAGAACTAGTTTAAATGGGCTTAATTCTCTCTCAGCTAAAGCAATTAAATACAAAGACTCATTAAGTAAATTACAGATAAATTTGAACACAATAAAATAATATTCTAACACAGATATATATATGAGAATTCCTGGAGGCTTTAAAATATCTGATGCTTATAGCTCGAAATCTCGAGATTTATTTTCCATAAAATTGCAAAAGTCATTGTATGGATTAAAACAATCTGGATGCATGTGGTATAACCATTGAAGTGAATATTTGAACAAAGAATGATATATAAATGATCCTATTAGTCCATGTGTTTTCATTCAAGATTCGCTATAATAGTAGTATATGTTGATGATTTGAATATAATCGGAACTCCCAATGAAATTGAAGATACTGTTAAATATCTCATGGAAGAATTTGAAATGAACATTTGAGAAATGATATTTGTATCCACCAATCAAATTATAGCGAGAAACTTTTGAAGCGGTTTTACATGGATAAAGCACACTCGCTCAATTCTCCAATGGTGGTTCGATCTTTCAATGTATATGATGATCCTTTTCAACCTTCTGGAGATGATGAAAAAATTCTTGTTCCCGAAATACCATATTTGAGTGCACCTGAAGTATTATGTATTTGGCTAACTAAATCTGACCGGTTATTTCTAGTTTTTTGTATACATTTGGTAGCCATATATATAGCTCGGGTCAAAGGATGTTACATGACTTACATCAAATGGGATAGAACAAAGCATATAGCACCAAAACTTTTCTCCACACATGATCTTGAGAAAGAAGGAACAATTGATGTCAAACAAATCAAGTCTTGCGATAACCCTGCTGATTTATTCACAAAATCATTGGCACCGAAGAAATTTGAAGAACTAGTCCACAAAATTGGAATGCCTCGTCTTTGAGATATATGTTAAATTGAGGGGGGGGTAATATAATGCACTGCACTCTTTTTCCCTTCGTCGGTTTTTTTTATCCCACTGGATTTTTCCTGACAAATGTTTTTAACGAGACAGTACATTATAATACTATGATACTAATACCCCAGAATAATTAGAAGATGATCATTCAAGGGGGGTGTTGAAATATAATTGAATTAATCATATTCCAACTATTCCGGATTAGGAATTATAATCACCATTTTATAAATAATTAGGAAATCATAATTATGATTCTAGATGATAATTGTGTGGTTTACAATTATCATCTAATCCAAAGAAGCTTAGCTTTTCTCCTATAAATATGAATCTTCTCCATTGTAATTATCACAACATGATTACACTATAATCACTCTTCTATCGCATTATTAATAATATTTTTATCACTAAGTGTTTAACCTATACTTTCTCTTCCTGATCTTCTACTTATTTCCTTCCATTTTATAACATTCATATAATTTTTATATTATAAATAATTTTCAAAAAAAAGATTAGTTGGTCAGTTTTGAAAATGAAAAGTCTTTTGGGACGGGGTAGTGCATTTAATCCAACCCCAATTTTGTAAATATTTTTTATTTAATATTATTTTGGGAAAAAACTCGAAGTATTTACATTGTTTCCGTATCAAAGTTAATTAATGTTTGTGCACCAAGATAGATTTTTATATCATGAACAGTGACATCTCTCTAAAAACAATGTGAATCAATGTCTATGCATAAATATTTTTGTATGTGATATAACTATTCAAACATTTACTGTCATTTTTATATTTTAATTTCTTCACCTAGATAATCTATATAAATAACACATACAATACTTTTGTGACTTTTGATCTCTAATTTGATTTCCAATGACTCTCCATCTATGATCTTGGGTGATGGTGATAAAATGAAAGATGACCTAAAAAGATGAGGGTGAGTTAGATGAAAGGTGACGAAGGAGATGATATGGTGGATGGAAGAAAGGAAAGAGAAAAGACACAACAAAAGTAAAGGAGTGGTCGAGGAAATCGGCAAAATTTTGAGAAAAATGTTTGGGTACACATTTTGGTGTGCACCTTTTGTAAATTTATGTGTCTCACACACACAGAATTGTTTGTCCACAGACAACTCTATAGAATTTTGTTTAGACAGACAATTTTGTGTGCGTAAGACTGAAAATGTATGAAAGGTGTACACCTAGCACATGCCAAGTTGTAGAGTATAAAGTTGTACCTAGTATAAGTTTTGTATACAAATAATTTCTCTCTACCCTTTTAACTTTTTCATCATTCCATTTTTTATAGATTTAAATTTTTTTCTTTCAAACAATAAATAGATTTAAAATGTGTGTCACTTTCCCTTTTAATTAATTAACTGGTGATTTTTATTATTTTTTTCTGTACAAATCTTAATTTTACATATTTTATTTTATTATTTTTGTTTTAATTGTTTCCCTTTCCAAACTTTATTTCTGTACAAATATCAATCATAAAGTTTTTATTTTATTATTTTTCGCATCAATCAAACTTGACAAAGTTTTGAAAAACGATGGATTAGCTTTTTTGTTTTATATTTTAGCGAGTGTAGGACTAGATGGAGATTACACCTTCTTTACAATTCTGTTTGCAAAAGCTTTAAAAAAGCGTTTCTTGACTTTTGGCTTAAAAAGTTAAAATGGGGTGTTTGGCAAATGACCATTGGCTATTATGTTGGCTGATTGATGAGAACAGATTCTGTTAGCTATTTTGATTAGCTGATAAGGTTAGCTGTTTGTAGAATGGTGTTTGGTTAAATGGCTGTTTACAATTAGCTGATATGTTGTTAAATGACTTTTAAGGACGTCAATTAATTTTTCGATATAAATGGTACAAATTCTAACCTCTTTTTTATTTAAGAACATACTCCGTATATCTTAATAATTACATAGGTATCTTTTTTAAAAGGGTCATGATCAATACAAGCTTCTCCTTGGATGAACGTCTGCAATTCTAAAGGTACACACTTTTTTGTGTACACACTTTTTACACATGTCTGCGTAAGATTTTTTTATGTCTGTACAGACATAACGTATTTTAAAAATACGTTATGTCTGTACAGACATAAAAAAAACCTTACACAGACATGTGTAAAAAGTGTGTATACAAAATGTGTGTACCCCAAGTCCAACTCTAACTTATTTTCAATTTTTTTCAATGGTGCGGGTGTGGTCCCTTTGAGGTTGACTCAAATGTCTTTTCAATCCTTATCTTCTTGTTAAATCATCCCTTCTTAAAAGAGTAGGCAACATTAGCAGGTCACACATTTCAAAACCTTCACAAGCGATCCCCTCCTTTGAACTGAACTCCAAGAGCTAACCATCATTGTGGAATTTTTTGTTGTGCAAGACTGATATATGAAGTGAATCAGACTAATTTTTTATCGGATAGAAGGCAGATACGGTAAAAGACGTGGTCAATACAGGAAACTTGTGGAACAGCCGATGGTAAAGGCTATAATTGTTGGCGTTTCTATATTTTGGTTGTTGGGGCAAAAAGCCAATTGAAAAAGGTAGCTAACCAAACACTCATTAGCTGATTAATTTGGTCAAAAAGTCAAATACAGTCAAATCAGCCAAAAATTGGTTGATAGACTGTTAATCAAACACCCCCAATAAGTGTTTTCAAGTAACAACTTCTACTTAAAAAACGCTTCTCGGCTTTTGGATGAAAAATGTTTTTTACTTTTTCTATTACACAAAAAACACATATTTTACCAAACATGATCAACTTTTACTTTTCAAAATCACTTTTTTTCACAAACACTATCCATTTTTACTACTAATCATTTTTCCCAAATTCACTTTAAAAAGTATTTTTTCAAAGGAGAGACATTTGCAAACACTCCAATATCTTAAGTAGAGGTCGGGAAATTGAAAGACTTTCCGACCATTATCCTTGTCTTGGAATGAGTGATATTTTTTCTAAAAGGTAAGGCGATTAATGAATAGAAGATAATTTGAGATTTTTTCATATATATAATTAAAAAAATTATGAATAAAAATATTACTTAATACTACGTAACTATTAGTGATTATAATTGTGTTCAAATTTACATCTTACAATATGATCAAGAAAAATCAATTTCGTAACCTATGATCGGTGTTGGGGACCTTCACATGGTCTTATTGATTTTTCTTTTTTTAAAGAAAAATCAATTTCATGAACTTATTTCCAAGGTTGAATCTCCACCCATGGTCCCACGTCCCAAGAGACTTATCAATTAATCGATCATGAGCCTACCATTCCTTCTACCGCACATAGTTCCATCCTTCCAACTCTTCCAAATATTCCGGTGTGCTATATCTATATCAAATACTCCATACTTTCTCTCCTCGTAGCAGAAACCCCAAAAATGGACGTTGATACACTACTCTCCGTCTCAGGAAACAGAGACCTCTCTCAGCAGTTCATGCCCTTCCATTTTAGCTTCATAAACCCAAACCCACTTCAAGATTCATCGGACCCAGACCAGGTAAACAGCGAGTCTCCCATCGCGCATGACTCACTTGACCGAATCGTGCTCGTGAACCCTGTGACCCAAGGCATGGTCGTCATAGGAGCTGGTGGCAGCTCATCTTCATCTAACTTGGATTCTCTTCTGCAAGACCTGCTTAGCAAAGGAGGTCAGCCACCAGCTTCAAAATCTTCCATTGAATCATTGCCAGGAGTGGAGATTGGTAGTGATGAAAAGAACAGTGAGTGTGTAGTGTGCTTGGAAGAGTGGGGTTTGGATGGATTTGCTAAAGAAATGCCTTGTAAGCATAGGTTCCACCAGAAGTGTATTGAGAAGTGGCTAGGGATTCATGGGTCTTGCCCTGTTTGTAGGTACAAGTTGCCCACTGAAAATGGTGATGGTCTGAACAAGAAGATTTCTAATGGGCAGAGGAGAGAGATTTGGCTGAGCTTTTCATTTGGAAGTAATGATAATAGAGGAAATGTGGAGACAACTGAACAGGCTATTGCTTCCACTTCAGCTTCACTTGATGATGAAATGGAGTCATAATAAGAATTTTTTTCGTTGTAAGTTCCACATATGTATAGAGTCATAGTTATATACTCGTACTTAAAAAGAGGTTTATTGTGAAGAATTAGAAGTAAAAATTTAATCTTTCCTTATTTCTTCATGGATGACATAATGTGTATGTTTGGTTCATAGTTCTTCATGGATAAAAGATCTTTGACGGTTAATTTACTTATATCTGAGTTGTATACACAACACTTCTAGCTGATGATGTTCTCCACAGCCACTTTATACGGAGTATGATATAAAGCTTACACTCAAACTGTATGTCTATATGTACCCATTAAACTTTTCCAGACCATTGCAGTTCAAGTCAATATCTTTAGGGTGGCAGGTATCGAAGTCTCTAAGGCACCTCTTATTCAAGTCCAGATTCTTCAAGAATCCAATTGTTTTTACATTTTGGTCATATGTGCTGGCTTTGAAGATTCTGTCACATGGTTTCTCATTACAGTTATTATCAGAAATGGTGCATTGGCTTCTTTTTCTTCCACTTGCGAGACCATTTAATCTATTTCCATGAGTTGGATGCATTTCCATCAATGGAAGTTCCACAGAAGAATTCTCAGGCATATGCTTGCCAGCTTCTTCCATCAATTCTTGATTATATTCCATCCTTCCTAAACTTTCTGTGTCTTTTCTTACTGAACATTCTTTTTCGGTCAACCCTGAGGATGAACAACTAAAGCACTCCATATCAACCATTATCTTCAATTTAGAGATTTCAGCTTTTGCAAGCTCCACTTCTACAGAAGAAGAACCACATCCAGAAAGTGTCTCGTGTGCCATCTTGATAACAGATTGGAGATACTTCCCCTGGGCTTCAATTCTCTGCTGGATGTGTCTTTGCACCTGGTTGTATATGATTATGTCTGAATTCACATACATCAATTATAATGTTTGAATTTAAATGAACTCCATCAAACATACCTCGATTTGTTCCTGCAGATTTCTATGCACCTCCATTTGGATTCGCAAAGCCTGAGCTGTTTCGGCGCTTCTAGAATATCAGAGCAGAAATTTTATCCATATAGGTGTTAGTAGACTAGATCTCAAATCCATTTAAATAAAAATCATTAAGGGTATTTTGGGTGGAGGGTTTTTGGGCTTTGGAGGGGCTTGGTATATACTAGTATATATAGAGAACTGATCTGGTCAGGCGTGCCTGACCAGATACACCGTGCGGACTTGCCCGTTTGTGGGACTTCCCTGTGGAATTTTTTGATGAAATGTTTTGAGCATGTTTCTAATCAAGTTTAGTTTATGCATACCAAAATTTCACCGGGAAGATCCTAAAACGTGCAAGTTCGCACAGCCCTTCCTGTCAGTCATGCCTGACATGATCATTCCTCTATATATATATAATGATACTAAAAAATGAATAAAGGAGGACGAATAAAGTACTCTATTACTCAGTATCACATATTATGCTATATCGTTAACTTTTATAATATCTCAAATACATATCAAGAGAGTTGTACTAGCCCTGCAAAACACTCCATTACCCAACTCCCACGGACTAAAAAGCGGTTTAGAGGTTATTACTCATTCATCTGACCCTGGGCTTCGTTGCTGTTGTCTGCAGGTGATTGACTCTGAGGTTCTATGTGATCTGCAAGCACCAAAGTCCTCAGTTTTGCCATGTCATTTTGTAAGTGGGAAAAAGTAGTGTGTTAATACCTGATTTGGTTGCTACTTCCTAGGCTATGCAATATTGCTAATTAGGCTTAATTTGGTTCTCAACATGGAATTAGACTCAACTTTCTCTACATCCATCTTTTGGTCTAATTGAGAAGGATATTTTCATACAATGAGGACAAAGTTTGGTTATAATTACACAGTCGAGGCCAAATTGAGTCAGGATTTGGGACTACATGTAGTTAACATACCGAAACAGTCTTCTCATTTAGACCTAGATACGAATGAGGGCGAAATTGGATCCATAGTTTAATAAAATAAATTGTTGAGAGCCAGATTAAGCAGTAGCGTATAGTCGAGATAGTACATTTGGTATTAGTTCTTAACTTAATTAACACTATAAGCTAATTTCTTGGGATTAAGGCCAGTGAGCTGTGAGTGACTCTATACTAGTTGGGTGGGAAGTAGCAACAACAAAAAAAGCACATACTAGTACCTTCTTGCTTGCTATCTTGGTGTGGCTGCGGATTCTGGCCTTTCCCGAGTCGAAATTTCTGCAGCATGGAGCCCATTCATGAATTCATACTTCCACCACAAACTATAGATAGATAATCAAAAGTTGATCTTAAGGTGACAATGGAAAAAATACCTGCAAATGGCTCTTGAGGTGGTAAAGAGTAATCCCCTGAATGTTCATTTTTCTCATCAATGATTTCGGTGTTGCCTCTGCACATGCATGATATTTTCACCAATATTATGATCCATGATGAACTAAGTGAGCCTTTTTTTTGCAGAATATATAAGAGATGAGAGTGGAGGAGAGTAAAACTCACTCTCAGCACCTCCAAGCTGAGATACTGCATCAACAAATCTATGGTGAAGTTCTGGAGTCCATTTCAGCCGTGGCTTCGTATCACCACTGCCTACCAGCCAGGGGTTCTTATTCTTATTATTTGCGATCTCAAGGATCATTTTTGCCAAGGTATATATCCACAGAGAGAGAGAGAGAGAGTCGGTTTGATCCTTAAAATGTGGAAGCAGGAGGTGCTTATATAATTGGGTAGCTACCAGGGTCTCCCATGTTGTTGTTCTCTCTGTATTTGTATTTTACCCACACTTGCACTACATATAGTCAGTGGCGGAGCCCCTATGTATCAAAAGTGTTCTGAACACCTAGATTTTTGAAAAGTCTTTGAGTATATATGTGTAAATTCAGGGTAATTAATTATTGTTGTTTAAAGTTTTACTGGTAGAAAAAGTTTGAACACCCAAAATCCAAATCGTCAATCCGCCACTGCATATAGATTTTGATTATGCCACAGGCCCACTATACTTAACTAATGTACATTGTGTCTTATTCATTTCGAGTATTAGTATTTAAATTTAATCATAAGTGACAAATAAATGTACAATTTTTGAGACTAATAAAATTATATTGGAAATTTTAAAATGCAATAAGGTAATTTTTATTTACCTTAATAAGATATTTAAATCCTACCAGTATAAAATTATTTGACACAAAAATTAATCTTGTCACAAGATGATAAAAGTAAAAAACGTACAAATCCCATATACAGTGCATGTGTATGATTGAAGACAAAATTAGATAGATATTTAATGCTGAAACGTACATGGACCTACAAGCATGGGACGCACACAATAAAAATTTGATCTTGATATGATCTCTCAGCGGCTAATCAGTGAAGACAAAGAAAATCACAAATATCTGCTCCAGCACAAGAAGACAAACGGCAACATGTCTTTGCCAGGATTCAACGTTAAAGATTAAATCATCCTAACCAACGAATGAGATTAATCAACCAGAAAAGCCTATAAATATAGGCCGAAACGAGAGTTTCTAACCAAGCTTTGAGCATCAAAAGTAGAGAAAAACTCCACTAAACATTTAAGAGATATCTAGCAAAAGAGAAAGTGTCAGTTTAACTTTACTCTCTGCTTTGACTCATGCTTCACTAAACTTCCAAGTTACAAATGATCATTGCTATATTCTGGAAGTTTAGTTCCTAGTTGGGGGTAGGAAATTTCTTGAAACGAATCACAATATACACTGTTGTAAACACTCAGGAGAACAGTTGTTCTAATCCTAGTGTGTATAGATAGATAGAATACGTTTTGAATTTTGATTCCCACTGGATCAATTGAGAAAATTTTAAAGGACTGAGTAACTTGGAGTGGTGTGTACTCCTTGTGAAACTCCTTTCAATCTAGGCCAAATCAGTTGTAAAGGCTAGATTGGGCACTAAGTGGAAATCCATCTGAAAGAGGGTGGGACTGGACGTAGAAGGATTACACCACTTCTGAACCAGGATATGCTGTGTGTTGATTTACTTTCAGTCAACAGAGCACACACCCAACACTTCTCTTTAAAGAAAGTAGTCTGCCAGCAGTATCCTTAGCAGTAGCCTCATCTGAAGCCACTGCTCAGCCTACTGTTTAATTACATACTTTCTTTGAGACATATTTGCATTGCAGTATTCTTACAAAATCGCTACAAGGGCGTGTGTTCAAATAGTTCTGGGAATCATAACTCAGCAGGTACCTCAGCAGTTCCCTGACAATCACCCAACTGCTCAGGCCACTGCTCCCATAAACTTCCACTTAAACTCAGCTGAGCACACTTCCAGAAAGCTCATATCACTCTAGATAAGATTCTGCAATCAACCCTCTCATACTCTCATCTTTTATCAAGCAGTTGCCTCAGCAGTTCCCTGGTGACCACCCAACTTCTCAAACCACTGTTAATATAAACTCTCACTTTCCTCTAAACTCTATACATCTCCAGAGTGCCCTCATTTTTATGAGCAAGAATCCATAACTAATTTCATCCTAAGCTATATATTTCCTCAGCAGTTGCCTCAACAGTTCCCTGATATTTATCCAACTGCCGAGCCAAGTGCTAAGCAACCTGCTCACTGTTTAAGGCCAATCTTTACCCACAGATAGAAAGTTCACACTCACAGAAGTTAAGACTTCCGTTGTGCATCTATAATCTCCCAAAAGATCATAGATCAACTCATCTAGTGGGGAAAAGTTTGTGAAGTTGAAAAGGCTTTAAAAGTGTATTCACTCCTCTCTAGACTTTTACCTCTATCATAGATCATTCTTTAATATTTCATGCATGTGATATTGAAAGATCAATTTAAGGTGGCTTTACTCGGGGACGGAGCCAGGGGTTAGAGTGGTCAGCCTACCCCCTGAAAGTTTGAAAATACGGAGCACTGAAATAACTTCGATTTGATATATTATGGTCCCCATAACTCATTATGAGTAAAAACTTATGACTCCTAGAAAATCAGCACAATCTAAACTCTAAATGACAAACAATCAAACTTGATGTGTAATATTGATTATATTCTCAAATTAAAAAAATACTTCTAATTCACTCATTACATACATGAACTGTATAATGTACTCCGTATATGACAAATATATCAATTTCGTGCTCTGGTTTTACTTTTCTATAATTCCATAATTTCTTGTCATAATTAGTTTAATTTCAGCTAAAATAGCTCAATAGAATCTCAGATATTCTATGAAATCCAAATGAAACAACTGTCTTCAAATTGGATCTCAAAAGGAGAGAAAAAGACCAAGTGTAGGGTTTGTTTTATCCTTGTGTTTTCTATAATCCTGTCAATCTGCTTGTTAGTTGATTCCCTGCTGAGTTAGGCAGTCCCACCATGACCCATAATGGGAGACACTGTAACTTACATTAAAAGCACCAGGATATGATGCAACAATCTTGATTGAAAAAGCCATGAAACTGATAATGTAGATGCTTTGATTGCGTATTTCTTTTTAAGAACTGAAATTGGGAGAGCTGCCACTGAATTTCTTTTAATTTTGTAGTTATTTATATGAATATCCCAATATGCACAGATGATCATCAGAGAAATGTGTATTAGTAAATAAAATGTCACTCTCTTCCCACCATTATTTATATTTTTATTTCTTTCTACACATTATGTGTGAATCCTTGGAATTGTGGATTAGGATTACCAAACTTATATAGTAATGTGGAAGAGAATGAAAGGTTATTTGTTATATTTTTTGATTTGGTTACTTGAATTGTGTGTCTCTCGTGATTTATTATTATTGAGTAAAATCCATATTTGCTATCTCGAGTCTCCTCAGAGTTTATTACTCCTTCAGTCTTATAAAATTCTTTCTGTTTTGAAGTGAAAATGTATTGTTGTGGTTGAATAAGAAAACGTTATAATGAATGCTAGCCACCATTTCTCCCAAAAGAGAAATGGGAAGAATTGTTTGGCACATCCTAAAAGGTAAGTGATAAAAATTTTATGAGGCGGGGGTAACTCAGTATTGAATAAATTTAATTCCATCCACAAATTTATTAACCACTATATTTTGTGGTTAAACCTCTTTATCTTTATGGCATTAATTACCTACAATTCTACAAACTTGTAGAATTATAGGTAAAAAGTCCAATCCTCACCTCACCGGTACGGCGGTACCTCAAGACCTCAGACTATTATCATCCATATTTTCTACCACTATTGATATTGTATGGTTGATTTCAAGAAATGGATTTTGTCATCATCCGTGGAACACAGAAACTCTCAGCAAATATAATGTTTCCGAATTGGAAACTACGAAAACTCTCAGTTTCCGAATTGGAAACTCTACGAAAACTTTTTAGGAACTTATGAAATAAGTGTTGAGCAAAAGTTGAAGCTTCTCATTGCCTTTTCCTCATGATTTTCACGTTTCTATGCAACATAGGTCGCAGTTGTTTGCCTCTCAATATAGAGTGACGGTGATTTTCCGTCAACTCTAGTAGGTATTTTATCAAATTACACATCAAAATGGAGATAACAGGATTGTCACGGGAACTCATGAAATGAGAATACAGTTCGTTTCGGTAAATAATGAAAGTGAAGGACACCTCTTTCTGAATCTACACGGTTTACTACGATATAAAATTTCCATGCTGTGATGTCTGATAGTTGTACGAACAAGAACAGGTTCTTTCCTTAAAGATCAAGAAAGGCATATTTTAGGAGGTTATATTCATTGTGAAGCACAAGCCATTGACCAATATGCATGGGCTTACAAGAAATGAAAGATTGGATTTTCTTTTGACCCAGATCCATTATCCATATGCAGTGGGAGAGATCGGTTGCAAATCACATACTGCTTGAATACTTCATTTTATTGTGTAAAGCAAAAGGTATTTGGTAGAGGTTGTCCGTAGATATTAGATCTTAGGTTCTATGGTACAAGGTTGATTGATAAAAGGAATATCTCAATTACCAAATCTTCATATGTCAGTTTATATTATACGGAGTATATCTAATTGGTGTGAAATAACTTAATCGTATACATATTAGGAGCACTTCATTATACAATTGTAGCTCAATGTTATGCATCCAAGGGTTACTGCGGGGAGTAACTAGAGAGAAGTCAGAGTAAAAGTAAGAGAGAGAGAGAGTATATTGCTGAGAATGTAGTGAGCGTGTTTAGCTTGGATTACAAATGGAAAAAGGGGCGCTATTTATAGTAGTAATAAATGCCAGATAGGGACACGTGTCATCATTCTGGTGGTCGAGGGGTCGCCTCAACGGGGTGGCACTGGCACTCGCATGTGGCCGCATTAAATGCGGTGGTTGGATGTGACGTTTGTACTTGGTACGTTGATCCAGCACATGTGGGTGGGAGATTCTGTCGAGGAGGAGCCTTCGGCCGTAGATGATTGACCGAAGGCTCTTCCTTCCGGGGGCACCCTAGGTGCCGAGGGCTCTGGGTGCCGAGGGCCGCTATTTTTACTGTCTTCTCCCAGTGTCTTTGTATGCTGAAAATAGCCTTTTTGTGAGTATCTAGAGTCTTCGGCCAAGGGGCCGAAGTCACCCCCAGTGTGCTTTGTTGGCTGCTTGGTACTTGGGGCGCTATGATTTGGGCCTGTTGTGCTTCCCGGGCCTATCAGGCCTTGGTTAGAGCGGCAGGAGTATATGGGCCGGGGGTCCCTGGGCCATATATTCCATCACGAGTCTCTCACTCCTTTTGCCGAAAGGTACTTGAGGGAAAAGGAGTAATTCGTTCTTGCCCTCTGCCGTTGTTCCGTTGTAGCTTGTAAAGTTGTGAGGAGTTTTCTGTTTGCATGTTTCTGCCGACGGCAGTCCCTCAGTTACCCACATTTCGGGACTTGAGGGATCATGTTTGTTGTTGTGGGAGTTTTTTTATATTTTTGTATTTTGAGATTTTTCCCGGAGAGGTCCTCCAGTCCCCCACTCCTTGAGGCACTTGTAAAGTGG